CATTTAGTGCAAAGAGCAGCCATGAGCCATTGAAAAGTGAATTGTTCTCTTGATTTGGTGTGCATTATGCAGTTGCTGCCAAGAAGGCACCAAGAATGCCAACTTTCACATCTCTGATCCAGACAGGAGGATACTATCCATTCCTGGCACAGGAGCCAGGCTGATAATGGAGTCCGAGGGTTTCTGCCAAAAGTGGAAGCCCAAATCCACCAGCTCCACCTGTGTATAGAGGTAGAACATAGAGTGCTCCACAACCTGGGGAGGGGACTACACCTCTCTTGGAGGAACCCAGTGTTCCTCTGTCTTTATTTTCTTGACTACAACCAGGCAGGATTTCAGTAGAGGAGAGGTTGGTGCCTCCAGCATCATCTCCACCTCCTCGTCCTTCTCCGCCATATCCTCCCCCACTTCTGAGGCTGACGGCAGCTCTGTCGCCGCTCTGCTGAGTGCCTCCGCCACCACGTCCTTCACCTCCTCCACAGCTCCTCAGCACTGACACCATCTGAATTTTCAGTACATCTCTTTACCTCCTTCATAGTACCTCACAACTTGCATTCTTGTGCTGCCTCTTGTTCTTCTCACAGGAGTATGTCCTTCTCCTTCATGGCCTTTTTTTAACACTGAGAAATAGCCAACCTACTGCTCTTGCCACCATGCAGGCACTCTATTTATGAAAGGATTTTCCCTATTTTGTGGAGAGCCTCCACTACTACCTTAGGTGTCACCCCCATCTCCCCTCAGTCCTGAGGAGGGGCCCACTCCTCTAGGAGGAAAGCCTCCTTGGACCACATGCTCACTGGGGGACACCCAAATATCTCCTCTCCATTACGGACATCCTGCAGTATTTCCCCATCCATAGGTGCAGCCCACCGAACCACCCCTTCCATGAGGATAGCTTTTTCCATTTTATTAGGTGAATTCCTTTGGGGGATGGAGAGGACACATGTCACATTATCTTATTGATGCTGACAGGAAAATTCCTGACTGACTACGTTTCTGGGGGAGGTTGAAACTACAATTAGGTTAGGTATTAAGTTCCTGTTTGGTGACTTGGCCTAGCAGAAGTGACCCCATGTTGTGCCTGGGTCTTTCTTTTTAACAGTTTATATTTATTTACTCAGAAACAAAGAGAAAGATTCAGATACCAGTATTATTTGACCTGACTATTCTAGTGATTTGTAAGTCCAGGGAGAGGAAATCCCAGGGCAAAATACCTCTAAAAACCAAAATTTGTCAAAGGGAGAAATAAAGTTTAAAATCGTTTATTGCTTATAAACTGTAGTCCATGGTCTTCTCTATTCCTGCTCCAGCAGAAGGAAAACTGGCCCTCCCCCTCGCCTCTCGAGTACAGATAAACCCTCCGTTGCCCAGGTAATTACCCACTGATATGGAGATGAACTTCTCTCCACCCCTGAGGAATGATGCAAATGCACTAAAGCCATACTTCTCTCCACCTCTGAATGCCTGTTGATATGCAGATGTACTAAAGTCAGGCTAGATATTCTGGAAATATTACAATTTTACCCACAGGCCACCCCTCCAGAAATCTCACCTTACAATTAACTTATTCCCCCTCTTCCAACCAAACTAATGACATACAGCAGCAACAGCAATAAAATCATGATAATCCTCAAGCCAGAGGATTCAGCCTATGCAGATTAAGTAAAGGTACTTTACAGCACAATCTCTCACTAAGCACAAAATATGTTTCTACACTTATTTCCTCTTTCCTAACAACCATTCTAGATTACTCACAAAACTTTTACTGAACATTACACAAAGTCAGGCCTCTCTTTAAGCATTTTTTTCTTGACAAGAGCAACACAATCATGATAATTCTAAAGTCAGAGGATTCAGCTAGGTTCAAAGTCCCATGCAGATTAAGTCCAAAGCTCGTCCATTCCAGCCATCATGTGGTATCTGCAGCCAGGGGGTGCATCCAGGACACAAGGACTGTAGAAGCAAATAACCATGATTTTGGGGGGCCACTTTGCTGTTATTCCAGGAATACACAGGAGGCCAGCTTCCAGGCCTTGTCCCCAGGGTGCCAGAAGAGCCAGTCATCACCAGTCATGTGTTGAAATGTCCAGGGCCACGTCCATTTTCTTTCTAATTGCTGCACCCATCCTTGCAACACAGGTCCAGTAAAGTGGGTGTCTTGATCACTCTCAACCACCTGCGGCCGGCCATAGGCTGCAGAGAGACACTCTAGGCCCCTCTTGGTGGTTTGCTGATCTGCACAACGTGCAGGGCACTCCTTCCAGGCTTAGCTGATTTCTTCAGAGGTCAGTGGCAAGCCCCACTGACAGGCTACAGCCCACAATGTCTTTTGCCCTGTGTGCAACAAATGCTGGTATAGTAGCTATTGGGCCACATCAGAGGCAGGCTTTTCTAGCCAGCTGTAGGTAAAATTGTAATATGTCCAGAATATCTCACGTGGCTTTAGTACATCTGCATATCAATAGGCGTTCAGAGGTGGAAAGCAGTATGGCTTTAGTGCATTTGCATGTCCTCAGGGGTGGAGAGCAGTTCATCTCCATATCAGTGGATAAATACCCAGGCAGGAGGGCTTATCTGTACCTGAGAGGTGAAGGGGAGGGCCTGTTTTGCTTCTGCTGGAGCAGGAGAGAGAGTAATAATGGATTTTAAACTTTATTTCTCCCTTTGACTGAGTTTGGTTTTTAGAGGTATTTTGCCCTGGGATTTCATCTCCCCATGCTTACACCAGCGCACCTGGGCCAATGCATCTGCTTCATCATTCCCTGGGGTTGCCAAAGGCAAATGGCCAGTCACATGATGTACGGTAGGTATCTGTGCCACTCCATGGCCTTTGGGTCCATTCTCTCACCCACCCCGCGATGGGATAAGTGGTTATTACCTTGGTCAGAGCTGTTCCTGCAATGGGCTCCGTAGCCAGCAAAGCGTGGTACACAGCAGCCAGTTGCTTCTTTATCAAGGTGACCCGGATCTCTGCTCCTTTTCATAGTTGTGACCAGGCTGCTGCCAGCAGCAGGAGCTGCAGCAGTGGCAGAAGCAGTAGCCTTAGGCTTGGGCCACGGGCTGGGGTCAGTGCAGCCAGCAGCGGTGGTGACGCCTCCATGACCACATGAATGTAAACACATGTCCCTTGGCATGAGCGCCACTTCTCCCCATCATTTCTAGGGGTGGCCCTCCCAAAGGTTGCACCCATTATGACAAATTTTGGCAGTCAGAGGAATCCTGTCAACCACCGCCAGATGTAAGTCCGGGGAGAGGAAATCCTGGGGCAAAATACCTCTAAAAACTGAAATCAGTCAAAGGGAGAAATAAAGTTTAAAACCCATTTATTGCTTACAAATTGCAGTCTGGGGCCGTCTCTCTTTCCTGCTCCAGCAGAAGGAAAACCAGCCCTCCCCTCACCTCTCAGGTACAGATAAGTCCTCCTTGTCCAGGTAATCATCCATTAATATGGAGGTGAACTTCTCTCCACCCCTGAGGAAAGATGCAAATCCACTAAAGCCATACTTCTCTCCACCTCTGAATGCCTGTTGATATGCAGATGTACTAAAGCCAGGTGAGATATTCTGGAAATACTACAATTTTACCCACAGATTATATAATATTTCATTGAATACTGTATTACAGTTTTCTTTTACTGGTCTTTTATAATTAGCAAAAATATTTTGCTAATATAAATAGTACTATAATGTGTGTTCTAGTACACATCTTTGTGTATATGCAAATATTTTCTCTGGTAAATACCTGAATTACTGAGTAAAAGGGTTTCATATTTTAAGGCTTTTAATGTATATTGAGAAGCTGCCCTCCAGAAAAGTTGTTTAATTTAATTGCGCAGGCATCAAGGGAAGGAGTGAGCCTGATGGACAAGCTCAAGCCTCACCAAACGAGGTGAAGAGACCAACAGGTTCCAGTCTGACAACATTCCAGAGCCTGATCGGATAACACTCCCAACTAGAGTCCTTCCCCCAAGCTAAAGGAGTAGTGGTTACTTTCCAGTACCTGGCTAAAGGCCAATGAGAGACCCCCATGTACCCTAAGCGAGCCAATCCTCACGCCAGTGTACACCTTTGCTCTCCCTTCCCCTGCCTTCTTTAAAAACTTGCTGCCTGCCCTGCCCGGTGGGCGTGACTTCCCTGGCCTGTGACAGAAAGGCCACAGAGCCTCGCCTGGGGGTATTCAAATAAATTACCTGGCCCTTTGTTGCCTCTCTTTGCCTGCTTACTTCTGTCAGAATTTATTGGAATTTATCTTACACCTAGTAAGTCTGGCAACAAATACTATCGATTGTTTTCCTTGAAGTGACAGTCTCACTTTGTTCATTTTCAAGAAAATGTCTGTCAGTTATCCAAGTCTAAATAACCAGTTTGTTTATCAGTCATTCTTTTACATATAAACAGCCTTTCTGAAAGAAAAAGGCTTCAGTTCAGTTGCCTAAGGGTTTTTCCTTAGGGCAACTGCCTATCTTTGCAGCAGAAGTGTTTTTGAGAAGTTACTGGTCTGTCACACAGCAATTGTAAAAAAGACCTGTACTCAAGGGTTGAGATTTAAGAAAGTTAATAATTTTTCTATTTCCTGAAGGATATTCTTAAATGATCCATGACCCCTGTTGGGTCTGTGATGGTGCAGAATGTAATGATGGAATTCACTGCCTTAATTTGTGCTAAGATGCAAGCAGGTTTACCCAGCATTGCTTTTCCAACATCAGTGCAAAAGTCAACATAGTGAAAAAGGGAAATAACATCTTTATTTTGAAATTAATCGAAACCTTGCAGATATCTGACAGGGTGTTAGAACCCTCCAGAGGTCTATAGACAACACTGAGACATTGTTCTAGACAACCCCTTTGCTGCCTGCCTGTCACTCCCTTGTTGCCTAATTGAATATGCTTCTTAGTTGTTCAGAGCAGTGTAAGAATGTTCAGCTTTGCTCAGAATAAAATTAAAGCATCTTACAGTGTTAGAGTTATGTTGCTTTTCTGTTATTTATATCCCCCATCCCAGGTTCATCGTTGGGTCAATTATGAATCCATGCTGAAAGAATGCCTGGTTGGGAGAATGGCACTTAAATCTCCTGCTCCTAAAGGTAAGTGGTACCAGTGCTGAACTGGCTTTGATGTGAGACGCACATACTTTATGTGGATTTCAACAGATAGATTCAGCTAAATCTTTGTATTGTTCTCCTTTTCAATAGCCTCCTTGTCTAGACACTTTAAAGGTTTAATTTTAGTTCTTCCTTAGAATGAATCAATTACTTTACCTTAAAATTATGACATGTTTTGAGAGAATATTCATAATGTTGTTATGGGTCTCAGATCGGGCACACCAGAGCAGGAGTAAGAAAACAGGTTTTCACAGAAAAGTAGATTATAAAAAGGGAGCTTTATATTTTTTCCTTTAGTTTCTCAGAAGTTAGTAAGTGACTAGAGTCTGAGGCTAACTTTACAGAGAGCTTTGTGTCCTATTTTTTTATGTCTAAAACTGCTTCAGCCCCTCACATTGTGAGGAATAACTTTAGTTTTTGTTAGGGGGACATTTTTATTTTCCGCAGTTCTTATCCACACCGTAACAAAGAATTGGAGGGCAGAGACACAATAGTGAAGCATAGTAAAAGTTTTATTTAAAGTTACACACTTAAAGAGAGAAAAAGTGTGAGTGACCTCAGGCAGGAGACATGCCCTGAAAGGTTTAAGTTTTATTTAAAGAGAGAGAATGTGTGGGCAACCTCAGAGAGCTGCTCCCTGAAAGGTTGGGAGAAAGTTTTATTTAAGGCAAAAAGAAAGGGGAGTGTGGACTACCTCAGAGAAGAGGCATGCTGAAAGATTGGGGGTTCCCCCTTTTAAGGATTTTTCAGGAATGTGACAAAGGGCTAGGTGTGTGAACTTGTCAACTGGTCTTAAGATATTTATCTTTGATGAAAGACATTACATCTCTTCTGTTATCAGTCCTCTAGGTAATTCTGCAAAATTAACTTAACACAAGAAATGTACTGATCTGGTTGGTTCCTCTCTAGGATAGCAGCTCCCCTCTGGAAGCATATCAATCAAGACCACTTGCCCTGCCCCCAAGGTGGGCCGAGTTATTGTCTGTTTGCTAAAGAATATGTTAAGAATCTTATTTTTTAACTTCCTCGGTTTTGAAATGCAGTCTTAACTTTATGATGGAATTTTTCCTGTTTTTACTATGCTGTTTATAGCTGGGCTTGTTTGCTAAATTAATCATGATGCTTGTCTCCTGCCCAGGTTGCAAATTACTTGATAAGGGGCTGGAGGAGGAGAAAGCAGCAGAAAGGTTAAGTTAAAGAATAGCTGGGCCTATTAGCAGGCTAAAGTAAATCTTACAATGGTATGATCTAACTGACACAGTGAGGACATGGGCTGTGCTCAGACACTTTTCTTTATCTGGGGAATAGTTGGACATTCCAAGTTGCTCCTGCCTTTGGAGCTTCAACTGATTAACTTATTAACTCTGTGAATCTTTCCTGGCTCTAGTTTTAACTGGTTAAGTCTTTGAGTCCCTTTTAGTGGGCTTTACTGGCCTTACTGTCTCTCCACCCCAATCATATCTGTTTTCCTGCCTAACAGTTTTCATTAGTTTTCTGTATTCTTTTGTTAAATAGACAGATTATCTATGACACTTAGAGTTGACTTCTAGACTTGTTTTTAGAATTTAATTTTTCAATATGTAATACATTCACATGACTTAAAAATCTGAAAACAAAAATTTATACAGTGAAATTTTCCCTCTCACCTTTCTTTACCATTTGCCTTAAACTTTTCCACTTCTTGCCCCTCTACCATAGAAAACTCCTGTCCTGTTTTAAACTACTTTAAAAATACAACCCATTTCTTCCCCTTACCTTCTGACCTGAGGTTCTGTAATCTGGGTGTGCTGGAGATCACTTCTTTACCTCCAAAGCTTTTTTCATAGGAACATCCTTGGAAAAGTTTAGACATGTAATAAGAGTAGTAGGAATATGTGGCCTAATCTTTCACTATGGATGGGATCGTAGTCATTTCTTTTGAGTAACCCCTGACTTTGAAACCCAAATTAGGAATAAATTGGCTTGTTCAACCTGAGTCTTCTACTGTTTGTTAGTTCGGTGAATTTTGTCATTCAGGGTTCTTTTTACCAGAGGCCTCCACCAGCAGTATGGAAAAAGCACAGACTTACCTAAATTTGAACCTTAGCTCCATGGCCTGTTGTCTGTGCAGTCTTTGGGCCAGTTTCTATCTCTGAGCTGTACCTTTTTAACCTATACAATGATTCATAGGGGTAAGAATTAATATAAGTAAAGTTCTTTGCATGATGAATGAAATAAATGCTCAAAAAGGATTCTTTTTCTTCATGTGACCACAAAACAAATGAGCAATATGTTTATATACCAAAAGCAAACTAAGCTGAACTTCAGTGTCTGGAATTCTTCCAAACCAGTTTGCTTTTGTAAACCAATCCCCTTGTCCTCTTAATTGACTTCTAAATTAATTGGTTCACTGCCAGCAGAGGATAGAATCATAACTAAAATCTCTAAATGACTAATTTTACCCCGTCCTGAACATTTGTTGTCTTATTTATACAGTTTGGTTCTAAAGTATGTGTTATTCTGTGGTACCATTCAGGGTGATCAGAAAGCATGCCAGGCTCCTGAGGCTTCTGTTTCATAGGAGACATGAAATTAGTAAAAGGACTTCTCTGGTTTCTTTTCTTCCTCTCTGGAAATGAAAGACAGATAGTCCTCAAAATGCTTCATCAAAAACAATAAACACCATTTAAAATGAGCATATTACATTAGTTCACAAAGAAATCCCCAGATATCTCCCCAACTGTGTCCCCCACCAAAAAAGAGTCAGTAGAAGCAGCAATCCACAGTGATAAACTGAATCTGAAGCCTGTTGCCAAAGGCAAATGGCCAGTCACATGATGTACGGTAGGTATCTGTGCCACTCCATGGCCTTTGGGTCCATTCTCTCACCCACCCCGCGATGGGATAAGTGGTTATTACCTTGGTCAGAGCTGTTCCTGCAATGGGCTCCGTAGCCAGCAATGCGTGGTACACAGCAGCCAGTTGCTTCTTTATCAAGGTGACCCGGATCTCTGCTCCTTTTCATAGTTGTGACCAGGCTGCTGCCAGCAGCAGGAGCTGCAGCAGTGGCAGAAGCAGTAGCCTTAGGCTTGGGCCACGGGCTGGGGTCAGTGCAGCCAGCAGCGGTGGTGACGCCTCCATGACCACATGAATGTAAACACATGTCCCTTGGCATGAGCGCCACTTCTCCCCATCATTTCTAGGGGTGGCCCTCCCAAAGGTTGCACCCATTATGACAAATTTTGGCAGTCAGAGGAATCCTGTCAACCACCGCCAGATGTAAGTCCGGGGAGAGGAAATCCTGGGGCAAAATACCTCTAAAAACTGAAATCAGTCAAAGGGAGAAATAAAGTTTAAAACCCATTTATTGCTTACAAATTGCAGTCTGGGGCCGTCTCTCTTTCCTGCTCCAGCAGAAGGAAAACCAGCCCTCCCCTCACCTCTCAGGTACAGATAAGTCCTCCTTGTCCAGGTAATCATCCATTAATATGGAGGTGAACTTCTCTCCACCCCTGAGGAAAGATGCAAATCCACTAAAGCCATACTTCTCTCCACCTCTGAATGCCTGTTGATATGCAGATGTACTAAAGCCAGGTGAGATATTCTGGAAATACTACAATTTTACCCACAGATTATATAATATTTCATTGAATACTGTATTACAGTTTTCTTTTACTGGTCTTTTATAATTAGCAAAAATATTTTGCTAATATAAATAGTACTATAATGTGTGTTCTAGTACACATCTTTGTGTATATGCAAATATTTTCTCTGGTAAATACCTGAATTACTGAGTAAAAGGGTTTCATATTTTAAGGCTTTTAATGTATATTGAGAAGCTGCCCTCCAGAAAAGTTGTTTAATTTAATTGCGCAGGCATCAAGGGAAGGAGTGAGCCTGATGGACAAGCTCAAGCCTCACCAAACGAGGTGAAGAGACCAACAGGTTCCAGTCTGACAACATTCCAGAGCCTGATCGGATAACACTCCCAACTAGAGTCCTTCCCCCAAGCTAAAGGAGTAGTGGTTACTTTCCAGTACCTGGCTAAAGGCCAATGAGAGACCCCCATGTACCCTAAGCGAGCCAATCCTCACGCCAGTGTACACCTTTGCTCTCCCTTCCCCTGCCTTCTTTAAAAACTTGCTGCCTGCCCTGCCCGGTGGGCGTGACTTCCCTGGCCTGTGACAGAAAGGCCACAGAGCCTCGCCTGGGGGTATTCAAATAAATTACCTGGCCCTTTGTTGCCTCTCTTTGCCTGCTTACTTCTGTCAGAATTTATTGGAATTTATCTTACACCTAGTAAGTCTGGCAACAAATACTATCGATTGTTTTCCTTGAAGTGACAGTCTCACTTTGTTCATTTTCAAGAAAATGTCTGTCAGTTATCCAAGTCTAAATAACCAGTTTGTTTATCAGTCATTCTTTTACATATAAACAGCCTTTCTGAAAGAAAAAGGCTTCAGTTCAGTTGCCTAAGGGTTTTTCCTTAGGGCAACTGCCTATCTTTGCAGCAGAAGTGTTTTTGAGAAGTTACTGGTCTGTCACACAGCAATTGTAAAAAAGACCTGTACTCAAGGGTTGAGATTTAAGAAAGTTAATAATTTTTCTATTTCCTGAAGGATATTCTTAAATGATCCATGACCCCTGTTGGGTCTGTGATGGTGCAGAATGTAATGATGGAATTCACTGCCTTAATTTGTGCTAAGATGCAAGCAGGTTTACCCAGCATTGCTTTTCCAACATCAGTGCAAAAGTCAACATAGTGAAAAAGGGAAATAACATCTTTATTTTGAAATTAATCGAAACCTTGCAGATATCTGACAGGGTGTTAGAACCCTCCAGAGGTCTATAGACAACACTGAGACATTGTTCTAGACAACCCCTTTGCTGCCTGCCTGTCACTCCCTTGTTGCCTAATTGAATATGCTTCTTAGTTGTTCAGAGCAGTGTAAGAATGTTCAGCTTTGCTCAGAATAAAATTAAAGCATCTTACAGTGTTAGAG